TGGCACGACGGAAAGGAGAAGACGGAGGAGCACTGAAGGTCAAGTGTGAAAGTGCGTGGGACGACAACAGACACAGGCAGTTTTCGTAGATCGCAACTGGGATCTACTACTCTTCGCCGAGGACGCCAAAGAACTTGATGAAAGAGTATTGAAAGAAAGAAATGCACCTTATTTCTTGACGTATACTCGCACACAAGTTCGATAAACTGATCGGAATATTGTTATCCATTTGTCACAGCAGTAATGTGAGTGTAAGAATCATGCCAAGCAAAGAAAAAGGAGAAGACAGACGTGACATGTCAAGCGTACAAGCAGTGCTTCCAAAAGTCCAGCCACAAAGATGATCCTAAACGTTCCGATTGTTGCAAAGATGGAAGTGGACGTTCCGATGATAAAACCAAAGCAAAGGTTCCATGCGCTGAAGAGGATGCTGCAATCGGTGCTGTGATGGATACGTCTAACCGCAAATATAGAAGTGAACGCTCCTCCGATCATAAATGGGGGTCTGGTCGCGATCGCGATGCCAAGGAAAGAACTCGTCGTGGGCGAAGTGAGCAAAATCTGTAACCAGGAGCAGTGTCAGTGCGTCCAACGATTCGGAATATCGAGAAACAAGGAAGATGAGAGGACAGGGTTCTCGAAGTGAAAGATCAGGAGAAAACTTCTCCCACAGTCATCGATCTGGTGGCAGAGACGCCGCTGATTGCGAAGCCAAGCAAAAAGCCAGAGCGGGAATTAGTGGAAGGTTGACTCCAAGAGCCTCATCGTCCTCCAGGACAGAGAGAAGATTTCGAGACAAGATGGGCGGCAAACGGAAAGCTTCAAAGGCTGACATTCTTGAAGAGTCGAATGAAGGCAAGGTTCAGTTGAACGCTGTTGCTGTAGAAGATGCCGAGAAACAACAGGGTCAGATTGAAGCGCTCACGCGACAAATGCAAAACATCACGCAACCAACTGCTGTCCCAGAACCTACAGTATCGATCCGGATGAGGACGATAACGATGGCGAAAATAAGCGGTCTGCCAAGAAGAAGCGATGGAAATGTATCTGTTGTTTCCTCATCCTTCTACTTGCAATCGGGGGTGGAGTTGCTTACATCTTTGGGACTTCCAAGTCACCCGAGGAAACTCTTGCTGTAGAGCCGACGCGCCCTCCAGCTGTCAGAGGTTCCGCATTGCCAAGTATAATTCGCCCTCCAATAGTGCGACCTCCAAAGAGTTTGCATCGAGTTTGATGCAACCTTGAAATTCCAAATGGAAGAGGAAGGCTGCAATGGCTTGGACCACTTGCGGAAAAGCTCAGTCGATTTCTCTTCCCGAGGTGGCGGGTACTGAGCAAGATCGGCAACTGCAGTTCTTGTTGCCCAACTTCATTGTCATTGCTAACGGCAAGGTTTTAGATGTCGTTGTGACGCATAAGACAAATGTGCTGACAAGTCTGACCCTACTGCAATAGTTGATGTGGATTTCCATTTGCAATCAAAACGTGCAGCTCTCATTTCTAGAAGCATTCTTGGTAACTTCTCTTGGTGCCTCGCCTGTCATCTTTTTGGGATTGGAACAACTCTTATCCAATGTTGTGATCACCCGAGCTGCCCATACCCCACGGGCCCATGAACCAAGCTTGGGCCCGAGCTCTGTTCCTAC